AAAGATCAGTGGTTGCGATCAATGTACAATCGTTGCTTGACAACCGTAAAAGATAAAGTGGAGCAATCATTCTAACGCTCGGCTACAAGTGTCCGGCATAGTGGGAGTAAACTAGAGAGTGTAGGCTCCCATTCTTGGAACTTCACCCACAAGCCAAGCCGACTCTTTCATCGACCCCCACTCGACAATATCCTGCGATTTCTCGTATCGAAATATTTACAATCAATCGATAACTCTGAATAAATGAATAGATCCGAAATAAGTCGAACACTAGCCAGAGTATCTACTTCTCTCAAGCGATATAATATACGTGGACTATTTCCAGACTACCTGCAACTAAAATTTATTCCGTCAATAATTCACTTTGATTTTCCTTTTTCGACTCGACTCCCAGCTATTAACGTTTTTAAACTCGCCGTGCATTTTAATATCCCTCTGTCTATTTCGCGGAACATATTTCCGTGTAATAAATGGAGAATAGTCCGTCCACCACCCCCTCCCCCCCCCCCCATTCTGCACGAATTCAATTTCTCGCGTGTAAAGGGAAATTTTAAAACGAGCGATTTAAAGAGAACGAAATCCCCTTCTTTTTATTACATTCCACGGCTTGAAGTTAAAAAGAAGGCGACGCTTTTTCAAGGAGACAGTTGCAGCGCAAACAAAAGGGAATCACGGCTGAAATGAGCATAGAGGATCTCGAGACCCTGATGAAATCCTCTCGAGTAACGACACTCTTTGCTTGCGAAATGCATTTGTCTTCGCTCGCGTTAAACAATGCTGGAGATCCAGCGGAGCGCGGGTTTCCTTGGACATTCCTGGCTTTTGAAATTCTTGAATAACTGAAAAGTTCTCGAGTTCCTCGGTTTTAATACGAGGTGGATGAGCCCATTAGTGACCAGTTGTTCGCTTCATTAATTTTATTTCATAGTGATCAAAAGTTAGATATTTATTTACTATTTCATGTATTGGTCTTTACACCGTCGATTAGGATTGGTATGTAAATTCGGAATCGTTGATTGCTTAGACTAGTGATTCCCAAACTGTAAGCCTCGATATATTGTAAATATGTAAAAATGTAAAAGAAAGAAAAATAAATATTGGTAAAGTTTAATAATAAAGAAATTAAGTCTAATGAAATAGTAACACTTACATTTAGTTAGCTTGTGCCACAAAATGTAGTCTGTCTAACATTTGAGTATACTCGCGCAGAACACCGAAAAGGTTAAAGGAGTCGCTGAAAATAATCTGTATACTAAAGAAGCCGCGGATCTAAAAAGTTTGGGAACCTCTGGCTTAGACATTTCTGAAGTCATCAACTTTATAATACCTATTTATATTAATATAAATCCTCATGCTGAACACAATGGAGCCATTTATCTTAGTTCAAGCTCGCTGAAAATTGCTCAATCGATTAAATTAAATTCTGTATTTCCATGGTTCACTAACCACTGCATCGCAGCTTCAAAAGCGCAAAGACCTCTTTCAACTCGTTCGTTGCGCGATTTCAGAAGGCAGTTAAAACCGAGGAAGAATCTCGTTTCGGACGTAACGCATAATTACCTGAATTCTGTTTCTGACGCGTCCCTGATGCGTGCCGCGCGCGCTATTACTATTTCAAAGCCGCCCACGCAAGCCTTTTCATTAGATCTTTCTCTCCCCGTGCGCTGAATGAATTTTTTAACACGGAAAAAGCAGAACGCGACGCACGAAAGTCAATTATTTACGTACCATCGTGTACCATTCGGAACTTCTGGGGGAGGGAAAATGGTGGAGGCAAGAATTTTTCATTTAACGTTCATATCGGGACGGTACTCGCGCAAGATAAAAGCGCAATATAGCCCAACCTCCGTTATCAAAACTTTCCCGTCGAATTCTTATATTCCATTAGCGAGTAACCTGGCTCTCCGGTGCACGAAAAACTGTGACCATTCCAGTCACGCTATTCGCCGTTTGTTTAAATATTCAAACGTCGTGTCCCCAGCAATCGAAAACGGAAACGGCATTTTCCGAAAACGGTTTCCAAGTCCCGAGGTACGCGGAAACGGAAAACGGGGTCGGGTTAATGACTACGAGGTCTTTTTGCCACCGATTTTTACAGGGCGAATTTTTTAGTTGAAGCTTTTTCCTGGAATAAAAATTTCAAATTTATATATGAGAGTGAAAACTAAAATTGAATGTCAATTTTAATAGAAACTTTATTTTTCAAACGATTGGATTTTTCTCTCGAAGAATGATGAATTCAAGAGAGAAGCCCGTAATCCCTGGCAAAACATCAGAATCCATTCCACGTAAAAATTGAGATTTTAGCATGGCACCCGCAGAGCTTAAGGAAAGCTTCCTGGCTTGAAAGGAAACTTCATAAAATTTGTAAACGTACGTTTCGAGAACGCTTAATCTTCTTAAAAAGATTCGGAAAGCCATTGTAAAAAGTAAGAGTATTAAATTCCATGGTAGAGGGCTAACAAAGTTAGTTCCTCGAATACCCGAGCTTTTACTCACCCCCTCCCAAGATCGTTCCTGTCAACGGGTCTCCGAATTATCTCGATCTGTTATAATTCGAAGCGGAATAAATTCCGCGGCTCGCTTGCCTCCTCTCTCCGGCTCCTCTTCGATTTCCAGGTGTACTTTTTATTAATTTCGTAAGTGGAGAATTCCTCCAAACGTTCGTTCTTCGCGGTAACTTGTCCCCGTTTACTCTCGCCGTGTACCGGCCGGTGTGCAATTAAAATTTACAATAACACGTCGACTCGAGGTCGTGGAAGCAATTAACGGTACAATAATCGCGGCGTACGCGCCGGACACGGGGTCGGAGGGGGGAATTAATTGGGCCATTTTTCATGTTCCACGCGGGAGGACGCGATCTCCTCTCCTCTCGGCGTGCGAGTCAGGAAGTGGCGCACGCGAGAGGTTTGTTACCGCCACGAGAAGTATCGGGCAATCAACTTAATGAGGAAAGAGGCATGAACCGATGACGCAGGAGGGGAAGGGCGCGAAAGAGACACAAAGAGGAGGCCCTTTCACCTAATGGTTTGAGAAACGTGCCCGTTGGCCCGCGCCGAGCGGTACCATTTATGGTGACACCGTCGAGAGCACCTTGATTTTCATTACGCCGCGCGACGATTAAACACTGAACGTGGAAAGGGTTGCTTATCTCGAGGTAATAGTTTGTTCGCTACAGAAATCTTCATTTATCTGATTTTAGAACATTCTTTAGGTAAAGAAGCGTTAACTGCACACCTGGGGTGGTGATTATATAAATAGAGTGGGTGTAGAATGTATTCGTACACCGATCGATTTCCCAAGAAACTTTTGTGTGAAATTGTAGTTTCTTAACTTCTTTTTTTATAATCAATGATATTTTACATATTCTCGGAAGTCTCTAAGATAGATATAGTCCAAACAACATTTACTAGTCGATATAATTTGTGATGTTAACAAAAAAATGCGAAAAGTGGGTAAAAGCATAGAAGCAATAAGTATTTGTACGATTCTTATGACGAACCATTTACAGTACAGTGTGTAACGTAAACACATTAGTTTATTGCTTCGTACGAATTAGAAAACATCAAATTTCCAGTAAAGTACTTTTAAAAGAGGCTCTAATAGAAGAATGGAAGAAGATCCCACTTCGAATAACTAATAATTTAGGTAATTTAACGCTTAGAAGAGTTGCAATAATTATAAAATCAAAAGGAAATCCCGCGAAGGAAGTATATCAAATACTTATAAATGAATGTAAATTTCTTTTTTTAATGATGTTTTAAAAATTAAACAGTTGTGCGAATACTTATTGCTTCAATATTTCTATCGGTTAATTGTTTCTTTCTTAATTTCGCAACTTACATAAATAGCTATTTTTTTTTTGTAATGTATCTATTCTAGAGATTTCCGAGAATATGTAGAATCTTATTGTTTATAAAAAATAAGTTAATAAATTACAATTTTACATAGTTTTTTTGGAAATTGATTGGTGTACGAATACTTTCTACACACACTGTAATTAGCCATTCTATCGAGAGAAATATATTAGGGGGACCGAACATTTATTTATTAAAGAAATCTTAATTACTAATCGACAAAATAATTTCCATTATTTTCTAACACTTTTTGACGGCGTAAAAACAGTTGTTTGATTCCTTTTTTATAAAAGGCCGATTTTTCATTGAAAAACTGTTCCAAGTCGAGGAAATTTTAATTACTTTTCGGTCCCACTAATAAATTAAATTGTATCGTGTTGTGATGTAAAAAGAAACGAAAGTTTTATGATGCAGTCTATCTAAAGAGGCTGAAAGAGTCTACAGAATGTCTCTGCAAATACAGGTGTGTTTTACTAGATGGGTGCATCGATTTAGACTACATACAATAATAGAGGAATTAACACTAAACCTACCAAAGTTCATTTGTAACTATTTCTACTGCTATGGAACAAACGGCTAGTTTTAAAGGCACTTCTTTCAATTAACTACAACAATATTTTACGTGGAACTAAATTGAATAATGCATGAAACAATTGTACATAATTCATATATAATATAGAAAAACTGTATACAAAAATTTGAAAACGGTCGTTTGACCGGTCGTGGTAGGTTTAGTGTCAATCCTTAAAAGCCTGATTTTTCAAACTAAATTTAAAAAAGTATCGATGTATTTATTATTTGAACAATTTTGACAGCTGACATTTATATTTTTAACTTTTGTTCAAATGAACATTAGGCAATGGTAACATACATACAAGCAAATATTAAAAACAAACCAATTGCAAGTGTACAATTCGATTTAAAAGTCCGGTATTAAATTTAAACCTTAGGACATTTAAGGGCTAAAGTAGACAATAGTAGGTTCGTCTAAAACTACAATAGCATTTTTATCCTTGCCTTCTGATACCAATCTTCAATCCGTAACCCTTCAATCCATCAACTCTATTCTTCAATCACACTTGCAACCCGTTTGTATTCAGTCTTCAATTCGCGTTTCCAATGAAAATTTGAATTCGCGCTTACCTTGCGTCATCGGTGTGCAGCTTCAGGCCGATCTTCGATATGCATGTCCACTTTAGAATTTTCGGAAGTCCTTGCGATCGTCAAGTCGCGTGTCCTACAACATACAAAGAAACCAACTAATTAGTATCATTTTTAAATAAAAGAACAATCTATAAACCGAGCATCAGCTTTACGACAATTTTTCAGATTTCATCTACCAATGAATCCTTCCATTAAAGAAACACTTGTTCCCATTTTTGGTGCTTGCTGAAAACTTTTAAAATTATGTGTAGTACAAGAGGAAGCATTTTCCACAGAGTCAGGAAATTGAGAAATAAAACGAAGTAGCGTCTGTGTTCATGCGTTACTAAAACGTTTCATAATACCATCATCCCGCTGAAAACTACCCGAATTTAATAATAAAAATGTTGTTCCCCGTTCGCGACGCGGCCTCCTCGGTCGCGGCAACGTCTGCGTCTTCGAAATTGTTCTCTTATCCACTTTATCAAAGTCGCCGACAAAGCAGAAACACGAGGGAACGACTTTTATATATATTTTTTCGCGGTTCCTCTTTTTTCGCAGTCCGAGGCACCAGTTACCTCGGTTTCCCTCATATTTTCCACCTTAACCACTATTTCTCGCCGAATACAGAGGCAATGGCCACGCAATTACGGTACCTGGTTGGTAGGTTGCCTTATTCGACAAACGAACTCGCTGCACGCAGCCGCGTCAACCGGAATAGAATGTATTCCGCCGCAATTGAACGATTCCGTGTAATAGAATTTTCTTTCTAATCGAATCCATGTCAAATATATTTCTCGGAGCCGAAACGGAAAACCGTGAGGAGCCCCCATAGCTTTTCGCGCGAACCGGATAACGTTTCTATCAAACGAGGTAGGAAGTAAGACGCGGAATCGATGGAAGCGACGGTCCACCTAATCTCATTACAATTTCTATACAATTTTATAACGCTACGAGCACACGAGATTCAATTTACAATTTTCTTAGATTTTAGAAACAACGGAATTGGTGCCGAAAGCTGATTTATTAAAAGCTTAAAGTTCGTAAGCGTAAAGCTTGACAGAGTAAAACTCGATAGAGTAAAGCACGATAGCGACAAGTCAGAGTCTAAAGAGAATGTTTGCCAATTTTACAATGCTATCTAACATCTCCTTCGCCTTATTCCTCAATAATTAACCTGGATAAAGCACCTAGATTCCACGCGAATCGGAATCCGCACAGGATTCACGCTTGCCAGCCTCGTGTTTTCCTTTCCGTCCGTGTTTTCCGAATGATTGAATTTAATGGAGCTGCTCCAGATCCCGAGTGCTCGTACAAATTATTCTTCACACTCTCATTATCGCGTCCTCTCGCGTAATTGAACGCGCTTTTCACGGTAATTTCTATGCAAAAGACAGCGTGTTGCGACGGGGCACCGGCTCGAAACCTTCCCGAAAACGTCGTTTGACTTCCTAGCCTGTTAAATTGAACGGCACGACCCGCGCTCTGCAAGACGGATAGGGCTTGGGAGACAATGAACCTGGTCGGAAAGTAGTTAACGGAGAACAATGCTGTAAGTCAAGGAGTAGACAAACCGGAGCCAATAGGAACCGAAACTGCAGTAACAATAAACCATCCTGAACTGTTCAACAGAGAAAAAGATTGTCTATCTCTCGAATTAATTATCAGGAAATGTTAAAAGGAAGCGATCTGAATTGCTTGGAAATAATTTATGTACGATTCAACGCATTTTTAAGAAGGTGGAAAATTTAAAATATATCATGAAATAATGCAACACAATCAGAGGCTTGAAATTTAATTTAATTTGGTCTTTAGCTCGGTATCTATCCCTGCGATTCGTCGAATGCGACGATTTGACGAGGAACAGATTCCTGCGCATCTACCTTGCGCACCACGCGACGTTTGTTATTCAACTGATAGAGACGGTTTCTTTGATGTAAAGCAGGGAACGCAAGCTATGTTCATTTATTTGTTAAGGGTGCGCAGCTCACAATCAACTACAACACCTGTACAATCCAAGCTAATAGAGTACTCTACCACCCCACCCCAACCATCTTATTCATTATGGTTCGGACCTCCAAGAATACAGCTTACTTAGACTCCACTAACATACGCACTTTTTTTCTGATATCTACCACCAACTTCAGATGTTTTCTTAGGATTCTATTACCACGAATGCTAAGTTTAGATTGACTTCGAAGATGAGATCTCTACTTTGAGATTTGAAAATCAGGTCACCCTTAAACTCTAACTCCATCACCCTAACTCCATCGAAAATCATTTTATTCATACTTCGAGTTCCAATGTTTTAGAGTTTATATTGCACTAGTGATTAGTCAAATACTCAGCTATTTCCAAAACAATATATATTTAATCGTTCGCCACGCGGTTCGTCGTACAGAGATCTTACATACATAATGCGCAAAAAAAAACCGAAGAAGAAGCAGGAAAACGCCAGTAAATACTCTTATTTGCGCACAGATGGCATGATTGCTATCATTACTGCCTTCATAACATTTTACGCGCCTTATTTAAATCTGCTATGGTGATTAGACTACCTAACACAATGAAACTAAATTTAACCCTTTGCACTCGAGGCCTTTTTTTCTGGTACCTGCCAGCAACTCGAGTTGTTTCTTAGCATTCTATTGACATGAATTCTAAGCGATCTAGATTTGAGAATAAGGTCACCTTTACCTCGCCGACAATCATTTTATTGACACTTCGAGCTCCACAGAAATTAAACCTAAAGAAACATTAGGTATTGTAGATTTGCTGCGTGAAACCTAGTGGTAACTCTCGGTCACCTCTCGAGTCGCTGTATCACGTTAACATATGACTACCTCTCGAGCCTAAAGGGTTAATAAACTTCCCGGCACGTATGAATATAAAAAGAAATGCATTCATCTAACTCGAACGTTTGCTTTTAAAAGTCACGCCTGACGATTGCTTCTCGAGGACCGTGTTTGCCCTCGAATAAACGGCTGGAAGTTTCCTCGGAGGGGGTGGTAACGCTCGCGATAAGCGACTCTTAATCGCGAATCGTCGCCGGATTTCGTGAACGGGCCAAACGCGACGCCCGCTACAAACGGCGCCCGGAACAACGTAAACTTCACGCTGGGCGCGGCGTGTAAACGCGATCAGATTTACGACCGCGGTATTCGCCGCGATAAGCCACGACCCGCTAATGCGAACCGTCTGCAACGGCACGGGGGATTGAGCGCGTCGACAGACACTTTTCCGTGGGTTTAGCGTGCCATGGATCTTCGATCCTGTTTACGGTAGGTTGCAAGTGGCATTCTTTGCGGCAGAATCGAGGAAGTTTCGAGCAAAACAGGATAGTTTAACAATTCCTGACTTAGGAAGGAGTAGGTAAATGCTTATGGAATGAGGGGAAAGATTATAAGGATAATTGTAATAATAATGATAATATTTGGTCGAAGTATGTAGTTTATATTTCTCATGGGAGCACCGAAGAGTAACCAAGGAAAGTTTCGTGTGGATTGGAGGAAGGTGGTAGAAGTTATAGGGGCCTCACAAAGAAACGTACAATACCAGCAGGCTTCCAAGTTGAACCACACCTTATCATTAGACTGGCTGTTCCAAGTGCACGTGGTAAATGCATGTGTGTGCATGCATAGCGAGTGAAAATAAGGAAAGAAGTATATCGGGATATGTATGATTCCAAAAATATATAAAATAGACTGTTCGGAAAATAAGACGTACTTTGGATAAGAATGATAAATTTCTTAACACTTTCGCTGCGAATGACGCACACGTGCGTCCAATTGAAAATATGTGGTTGTTTTTATTATTTTTCAATTTTCATTTTTTGTGTTCGGCAATCATATTATATATCAAATAAATTACCATAAATATATATTTTTCAAAATAATCATATTAGAACATTTGTAAGAAATTTTTCATTAAAAAAAAAAGTCCTAATTGGAGCTCTCAGCGAACGGCTACCTATTTGCGTCCGTAGCAAAAGTGTTATCCTATTATCCTAACGAAATCTAGCGAACCTACATGACGCAAGACTCCAGCCCAGGTATACCGAACAGGTCTGAAACTAGTCCCCGATAGGATAAGAATATATCTGCAGAGTAAGATCGCTGTTCGACGAAGTCACGTGTGCGCGACGTCAAAGTGTCAAATAACGTATGCCAAAGTGTGGCATGCCTTTCAGGGAACGACACGTTTTCATATTGCATCGACATCTCAAAGTCCCCTACGTGTTCATTCTCGCGATGCAAAAGAAACGAGAAGCAGAAGACGATTCCCCTGGGCCAGTTTGCTCGCGTTACAAGCCTGGAAGTCCCGGTTTGCAATATTAAGCACGTTCGTTCCCTCGACGAAAAACGCCGCGAAACGGCGATAAAATTGAAACCCCTTAGGAGCGAATAAACACGAACCGAGGTAACTTTCGCGCTGATAAAGGAATTTTTGCTTTCGACGTCGCGACGACGGCGCCGGGGCGCCTCCAACCGGATGACTTGATTCCCAGGTACACGGATGCGGAATTCTTTGAGGAGATTCGCGGTTAACGACATGGGGAGAGTGCTGCCGACGCGTTCAACTCCGGTGGGGATAAGAATATTATATCGTGAAATAAAAAAAAATAGCTACTAAAACTAACACCAGTTCCTAAAAGAGCCCCTTTTTGCTGTTCGATGACCAACCAATTTGTTCAGTACAGATAAGCATATTGGAATCAATGTGTTCAAAATAAATTAATCAGCCTTGTTTCTCGCATTCCTTATCAAAGTTCAAAAACCTTACAGGAAGTTTGCGGGGACATGAACGACTCATCCTAGACGAGTTGGTCATCAAGTACCAAGTCATAGTTAGTCATAGTTACCCTCTTCTCAATGCAAGAGGTCTAGGATATAAGATTTAGAAATCTTCAAAAGAGCAGTATTACTGTTTTCGATCCTCATGCGTGGCAGTCGGTTATTTTGTTTCCGCAAGTATTCCTTGTATATCCAGAGTTGTACTTTTGAAACGTCCGATATATATTTGTAAGTGTACAAAAATCGGTCTCCTCGTTCCTCACCTGGGTCCCAACATTGCGAACTAATTAATTCCCAACTA